CCCTATGTGGCCCCCAGGCTGAGTCCGGGGGAGGGGGGCCTGCGCGCGCCAGCGGCCCCTTGCCGACGGGATCGGTCCCCCGTCCAACAGTCGGTCGCCCCCCGCCCCGCCATGGCTGCCTTAGGCCCGGGGCGAGGAGAGGGCTCGCTGCCCTCCGAGATTCACGGGACGAGGCAATTGGCCGAGTGGCGGGGCTTCTTTTACTGTCTGTCTGTCTGTCGTGAGCCGCCCTGAGCGCGCTCGCCCGAGAGGAACGGGAAATAGCAGCAGCAGCAGCAGGTCTGAGAGGCGCCACGCGAGACACAAACGTTGTCCTGCATACTCCCTCCCTCGCCTGAATCCAGCGCCCTTCTGGGGCCAGTCTCCGCGCCAGCTGTGCTACACAAAGGCTGCGATCCTGAGCATACTTACTAGTGAGCAAGCCCCACTGAGCTCAGCGGGACTCCTGAGTCAACAACGTTCCCGGGGCTGGATCTCTGCGCCCCCCCCCGCCTCCTAGAGAGACTTCCTCCTCCCCCCCCCTTTCGATTTGCCTTGTGACACCCCCTCGCACGCACGCACATCCTGCGTTGGGCTGTGACGGCTGGTATGAGTACACAAGGCATTGCACCCTCTGGGCTTTTGGATTTACTTTTGAAAATGCAACATTTTAAATTTCTCTGGCACACATAGGGAAACCTGAACTGCTCCCCCAGAACCACTTTTGTTTCCCGGTGCCTCCAGTCAGCCTCTGGGTGCGGGAGAGGGCCTCGGCTGCTGTGCAGCTGTTGATGCCAGGCATGGGCACGGATCCACGCGGCTTGCCTGCGGCTGAGGAGTCCCCCCTGGGCTGTGCACAAGAAGGCCAGGTGCGGAGTGCCAGGGCTGTGTGCAGAGAGAGAGGGAGAGAGTCTTCCTGCCTTTAAAATCTTCATAGTTGCGTCGTCAGAATGAATGCAGGAGCTGGATGGGATTTGAGCTTTGTGTCCCATTCCTTTCAACGGGGATTTTGTTTATTCTGCGCTAAGGATAAGAGATCCCTTTTCGTTCAGTTAGCTGGCAGTCAACACTGCAGGAGAGGCGGCCCTGGGCATGCAAAGCGGACCTTCCCCACTGAGCCATGATGGACCCTCTCTGGAGGCAGGGGGTACTTGTCCAGAGACAGATATTGCCAAAATCTCAGACTGCCCCCCCCAGGCCTTTCCCCCTTACCTGAAAGGGCCTTGGGTGCCCCTGTCTGCCCCACTGCCCCCCGCCCCAGCACAGGCAGTGATCGCTTTTGAGTTCAGCCGAAGGACGGAGAATTAGGACTTCCCATAAGAGTATCTGCCCCTCTCCTGACCCTTGACGCAGCCTGTGTGTCCAACCAGGGAACAAGGAGCTGTGAAATAAGCTTGCGGCCGGACTAGGGTTGCCAACGCTTGGTTGCAAAACACCTGGAGATTTTGGGGCCTGGAGCCGGGGGAGGGGGGCGGTGTTTGGGTAGGACTGCCTGGAGATTTCCTGGAGGAAATGGCCGCTCTGGGAGGTGGGCTCTATGGCATTATGCCCGACTGAAGCCTCTCCCCTCCCCCAAACCCCACCCTCCTCAGGCTCCGCCCCTCCCAGTCTCCAGGTGTTCCCCGACCTGGAGCTGGCCACCCCGTGTCTGGGGAGGAACCTCAGCAGAGAGGATCCCACCAAGTCCGCCCTCCAAGGCGGCCATTTTCTCCAGGGGACCTCCTCTCCGAAGACCAGTTGGAACACTGGGAGAGGACCAGGATGCGCCTGGAGGTTGGCAACCCTAGGCCAGACGGAGGGCTGTAAACTGGTTCAGGAGAAGGCCAGCAGGACGGGAGGCTCTGCCAGGTGGCCAGAAGCAGTGGAGGCAGAGGGTTCACCTGCGCTCTGCTTGGGTACTTCTCGTGACCACAAATACCACGGAAATGCCAGTAAGTCTCCAGCACCCTCTCTGCTGCAAAGGGAACCAACCTGGGGACGCCACGAGCCTTTGGAGCTTCTCACCACTTGAGGAAGCGGGGTGCTTGAAGCAAAACAAACTGCCGTTCAGTTCTTGGTGTGTGGTAATTAAGTGCGCGGACTCTAATCTGGGAGAACCGGGGTTGATTCCCCACTCCTCCACTTGCAGCTGCCATGGTTCTGTCAGAGCTGTCCTTGGAAAAGAGCTGTTTCTGTCAGAGCTCTCTCAGCCCCACCTGCCTCACAGGGTGTCTGTTGTGGGGAGCGGTTTGTAAGCCGCTCTGAGACTCCAAGTGAAGGGCAGGGTATAAATCCAATCTCCTCCTCCTCCTCATTAAATAGAACCTTGGTCCCCCCCCCACCCCACTGGAGCGTCCTGACTTTAGGCCCAGGCTGAATGTCAACAAGACACACGCACTCTCCTGTGCCTCGGGGAAACGATGCCGCTGCCTGTGAAAAGAAGCCATGTGGCAACGCGGCAGGCGTAGTGGCTGTGGACACGTGGCAGGCCACTTTAAAAGCATGCTGTGTGACTGTGCAGCCCCGCGGGGAGTGTGCTTTGCCTTTGCCTCAGCCAGCGTTGCAGCCTAGGAACCTCAGGCAGGGGGAGGGCAGCGTCTCTCAGGACCCCAAAGAAGAACGTCCCACAGAGCGCTCTGGGCCCGCCGCCACTGCTGATCAGGTCCAGCGCAGAGCCCCCAAAGGGTGCCCGAAGTACTGGCAGAAGTGACTGTCTGGCCAGCCTGCGGAGGAGGACAGGACCGGGCTTGCAGCCCTGTTCCACTCAGGTCACCAGTCGGGAGGGAAGGGGGGGCATTTTGCCAGCAGAGGGGGCTTTGGCTGCATGTCCCATCTGCCCTCCTGCAAGGGAGATACCCTCAGACCCCCGACGCAAGCCGACTCTGCCCTTGTAATTCTGGACAGGTTGAGACAATTGAGCGCTGTTATGTATGCAGCCGCCACACGGCAGCCACAAGAAAGACAGGAGCTTGGCTCCAGAAAGACAATGGGACCTAGGATCCTAGCCCCCCCCCCCCCG